CCCCCCTCAGAAAGAAAAAATGTGTGCGGGGGGGGGGGGGGGGGAAAGCGGTGTCCGAGTCTTTGAACAAAAAAGGTCTTGTTTCAGGAATGTGGTGCTGGAGGCCAGTGTTTGCCAGCAGGGTGTGTCTCCTGCTTGGAGCTGGTGCCTGCACTCAGATCCTGCCCTCCGCAGACACTCTGGGTGGGATTTTCTGGGAGCATCTCTCAAAATGGAGGCAGAGTGCCCCATGGCAAGTACAGGATGTATCCTGAGAATTGTATTTCTGCAAGCAGAGCAGGAGGGGCTGGTAGGAGGATGTGGGGAAGCAGGAAGAGAACTGAAGAGGTGCTCATAAGATTCTTGTACAGGGCAGATGAGGAGGGAGACAAACAACGCAGAGAACAGGAAAACCGATACGCTAGGAAATCATGGATCCACCCCCTGGGCTCCTGCTAAGGAGGATGGGACAAACTCCATGATTTCTGGCAGCCATGAGCTGCAGCTGCTCCACTCAGCTCCCATACTGCAGCCAGATGCGTTTGAGTGCATCCCCTCCTGCCCTGACACAGCCCCAGCAGTGCCCCCATGCTCTGGCAATGCCCCACACGTGTTTGGGGATGTCCCAGGTCCCCTCACCTCCAGGGAGGGTTTCCCAAGGGAGCAGGGAAGGGGGCAGGAGTCAAGTTTAAGCACTGCTGTTCTGTATCCTGTTGTTTTCCTACCAGGATTGTTGCAGTTTCCTGCACTGTCTTATCTGGAGCAGGGAAGCCAGCGCTCTCCAGTTCTCTGGCTCTGTGCATGTCCCAGGTTCTTATCTGCAAAACAGGCGTTGGAGCCTGTGAAAGGAACCAGCCAGGGCTGTCACAGGGCAATGGGACAAGGACAGAGGGGGCAAAGGGCTTTTAGTGCCTTGAAATTAGTGTCTTTATGTAGTGTTCCTGTTTGTACAAGGCTGTGTCTGTTTTATGGGTTCAGGCCTCCAGCACACCTGGGAGGGGGAGAGAGGAAGATCCCGGTGGTGACATTCTCTGGTGATTCTGTGTCTGACAGACCTTATAGGAGGATAAATCTCAGAAAGTGCTGAGTTTGCTTTTCCCCCCACCAAGGACTCAAAGGACACACATAAAGTCTTAAAACCAAAAAAGCATTCCCATGTTTCAGTCAGCCCAAAGTTCAGTCTCCCCTGAAGTGCTGGAGACTCCTGTGAGATTATCTGGCCATTTTCTGGAATACAGAGGTAGAATCAGCACCCACAGCACTGAGGCCTGGAAAGCTGTGCAGAGCAGGGCCTGAGAAAACCAAACTTTGTAGATTCAAAAAATAAAAAAAAAAAACACCCAACACTTTCTTTTTTTTACCATGAGTGAGCCTGAATTCACCTAGCTGTAGGTTTTAGCTGTAGACTGAATTCCCCATGGGTTAAAAAAAATTAAAATACTTTACTGTACAGCTCTGGAATGTCCTGTTTTCCTGCAGAAAGGTGTGGGTCCTGTACACAGTGTCCAGTATCAGATGGGAGCCTCTCCTGGAAAGAGGATTAACCCACAACATCACTCCCAGCCACACAGACACTGAATCAGGCACAAGGCTCCAAAACAAACCTCACCCCAAACTCTAATCCCAGACCCTTCCCCACAGGGATCCCAGGGTTGCTGGAAGCAGTTAAACACTGTGGCAACAAGATGGATTTCTATTACTCAAAAGGAAGACAGACACGCCAGTTTAGCCTTTGGGGAAAGGACAGTGGTCATTTTTCTCACTCAGCTGTGACTGTGAATCCAGACTGATTCCACTTGCCATTCCTTTGAGGGAATCACAGCTGCTGGAAGTCTGAGGGCCACAGCAGCCTAAAGGGTTTGTAGCCGAGCACCAGAGCCTGTGCTGGGAATTAAATAGCAAGAGAAAAAAAGGCTTTTCTTTCCAAGAGATCAGGAAGAGGAAGACATGTGCCTGGAGATAAGGAAAGATAAAAGCATTCCATTTGCAGAGGCCTGTGATAGGGATCAAGATGTTCATCTGCCAAGTCAGTAATTTTGTGGCCCTATGACCATGCGGAGTTTCCGTTCCTGTTACCTTTTCCCACACTGACTGAAGGCACCAGATTGTTGGCATGGAAGTTCCTTTGAGTCCCTCTGAGTGGCTCAGCCCTTTCGGGGAATTGCACAGGCTGAACTCGAAGATAAAGCTCTCTTTTACTTCAGGAGGGAAAATGGTTCTTCTCCAAGTTTATGTTCAGCTTGTAGGGCTCAGCAGGAGCAGGCTGTGAGCTCCCTGGCCTGGGGAGGTGGGAACAGGTCAGACAGCTCTGAGGAGAAGCTTGGGTAGAGCTTGTTTTCTATGAGGGGTCAGGGCAGCCGAAATGGCCATTGGAGGTGACTCCCTGCCCTGTTTGCTGGGATTCATCAGGAGTGAGCTCACGGGAACAGTAGATCCCATACAAGGCCTTGATTAACATCAGGAGCTCAGATAGCATTTGCTGCTTCCAAAAAGGCTTTTATTGTCTGATTTTTTTGTTAAAGCAGCAGCAGATTTCAGTAAAAAAATTCAGTAAATCCCGCCTTTGCACATTCCACACGCTGGCACTCGCAACAGCCAAGCATTTGGGCTAAAATTATCTGTGCTATCATTAGGAAGGAACATATGGATTGATGGAGAAGAAGGGAGCTGTGCTGCTGTGCTCTAGGCTCACCCCAAAGGGAGCAGTTCCTGTGCCTCCTGGTCAGAGGTGTGACCTGTTCTCTTTGGACAGGAGAGCCAATGTGTTGGGCTGGTGCTGGATGGGCACCAAAGGCCACCCGGGGCATTGGGCACAGCACAGCCGTTCCTGCCCCTGTGCTGCTGGCTTCACCCTCAGCCTAACTCCCAGACTCCTGAGATAAATCCTTGTGGACAGGCACATATTCATGGATTACAGGGCAGCCCTTCTCTGTGTTCTCCCCAAGAGCTGTGTTCCTTGTAAGCCAGAACTGCTCAAAAGAACTGCTCAAAGAACCACTTTAGGCAAGGTTCCCATGTCCAGCATTTTCTTTTTAAAAAGCCTTGCCTCTTTTACCACCACTGATTGCAAAGCTTTTGATTAATCATGAACTGAGATGCAAGTGTGTGGTGCTAGCCATGGCCACACAGGCTCCTGGGCTGCCGTGGTGCTGAGGGCGTGTTACGTGTTCCCTGTGGCATAAAAACAGGGATGGTTTCCAGGCTGCTGCATGGAGCCTTCTGAACAGATGGGAGGGTTTCAGATTTAGTCTCTAATATAAATACAAGTTGCATGTGCAAGTCCTTCAGTTGGGAAACTGCCTGTCATGACTGTTTGCAAAGTCGGAAAATGTCAGGCTGAACCAGCCTCACTATTCCTGGTTCTCTCTCTGTAGTTCAGCACTTGGAGACACAGAGCTTGCCAACCCCAGAGTGCTGAAGGAATGGCTTGCAGAGTTCAGTTTGTAAAATTCTATTTTCAGTGTTTATATTTAGTTTCCGTTTCGTTGGTGTTGCAGAAGCTGATCCTGCAAATATTTACCCCAGTTAGGTTTTGTGTGTAGAGTTCTTGGGAGTGCAGTGGGAACTCAGCCCAGGGAGGGCACAGGCCTGCAGTGGGCTGAGCATGGAGAAATTCAGTTGCATTTTCTGGTCAGGGTTTTATATATATACATATACACATATCCATGTATATAGCACACATATGTGATGATCATTTCAGGTTCTGAGAGAGAAAGGCCATTCAAAGAGTCACTTACTGATCCCCACCTGAGAGAAGGCTCAGTGAGACAGAAAGCAGCAGCATGGTGAGTGTTCTGTGATGGCATAAATGATAGCACAGACAAGAAAGAAAGAACAAATTAATTTTTAAAAGGAGTGCTGAGTTGATGTTGCTGGTCTACAATTATTGTACTGTTGGGGAGAGACAGAAACAGCCTCAGGACTGCTCTTGTCTGCACATGCTCTCTCACTCACGTTCTCTCCAACACCTTTACAGAGCAAGAACACCAGTGACAGAGGGTTCAGCAATGCCAGTTCCCTTCAAGCAGATCTCTCCAATCTTGTGATCTGGGCACACAGTCACGGGACCATCTGCAACCAGATCCCATTCCTGGAATTTATGAACATGGGTCACCTGAGCAATGACAGCACTGTGGTGTGGATGTGCAGAGTTGGACATGCCTATCACTGGCACTGTGGGAACTTACATGACCGAGGTGAAGAAGAGACTGAGGCTGTAGGAAGGAGAAAGAGGCTCCTGTCTTCTGAGTCTTTGGCTAGGGAATCCAAATTTGAGGAAAAGAGGTTCAAGCTGACCCCATCATCTTTTGAGATGGGTCAAGCAGATTCTGGGAGCACAGGGTTATGTGGTAGATCCCAAGGAATCAATGACAGGAAACCTGTACCATCAATATCTGCAGAAGAGAAGTACTTGCCAAAGTCTGATACTAGAGTTCAAACTGGCGAAGAGGATGAGAAGTCCAAAAGTGACAAAGACATACAGCTCATGTCTGATGAAGAGAAGCATGAGGCAGATGAAGACAACCAAGGAGACAGAATCAGCCAGGATAGTGTGTCAGAGCCATCTGTTGAGGACTTGGAGATGCTTCACTGCCAGACGAGGGCATTGCACCAGCCAGCAGCCTCCCAAAGAGCTGCCTGTGCCCCCACAGCAAGGTCTCCTGTCAGTGACTCGGAGGACCTGAGCACAAACATCCTGAAGCTGGGTCCTTTTACTGCTACAGGGCCCACAGCTGAAACTTCCAGATCAAAGAGCCTCCTGGGGTCAGAAACACCAAAGGTGTGTTTCAAATCCCTTCCCATCCTCAGCGCTAAGGCCAGGGCCCAGCTTGAATCACAGCCCTCTGTGATACTCTTTGAGTTCCAAGCCACTGCTGATGTTCAGCAACATCTCCAGCTGACCCCTCCCAAGTGTAGCACACCGAGAATGGGCTCCAGCAGGGATGGTGCTGAGAATGTGAGTGAGGACGGTGACACATCCAGGCAGACACCTTGTTCTTCAGCCTTCCAGAGTCCAGAGAGCCATCCACCTGCAGCCTCAAATGAAGGTAAGACAGCCTAGAGTTCTGTGCCTGCAGGGGTGTGGGGGTGTTCTATTAATCACTTTCCCAAAATATCCAAGGAGGGCGAGTTCACATCACTGCCAAGATCTGTACTGCAGCATCTAAGTAAATATCTTGGATTTGGGGCACTCCTGTTTCTGCTCAAGGGGACTGTAAAGCTCTCTGCCTAAAGGAATTGGTACTTCTGTAGGAAATGCCCTTCTCTGGGGTACCCAAAGATGTTCTTGGCTGTGCCCCAGCCCCAACATCCCGGTTTGAATACTTTGGTCTTCCAAAGTATTCCCTCACAGTATGTTGGCCATATTTGAGAGAGTCCCTGTGGGAAACTGGAGCCAGAGTGGGGAACTCAGGTCTCAAGAGGAAGAAACAAGAGGAAGTAACACAGAGAAATTGTGGCCAAAGCTCTGGCTGCACCAAAGCCAGTGGCAAAACCTCCCGGTGCTGGCAGTGGCAACAGAGAGTCAGTTCTGCATAGGAAATTGCTTTAGTCCCTTCAAGAATTAAGGTTTTCATATGTGCTGTCCTGCAGCACAGGGGCCTGGGTGTGTCCTTGCAAAGGGCAGAGGTTGCTGTGGCAGTATTTGGGGTCTGCCTGGGGTATGCTTACAACACCAGTGCTGGTCCTGAAAAGGCTTAGGGGTTGTTGTTCCTTGTGGAGCTGTAATGACACAAACTGCCACAATTGGGGTTTGGGAGCAGTATTTTACTGTTTTCATAACTGATGTCACGTGTCATCTGAAGGTACTGGGAATTCTTCTGGGAATGTCTGTGTAGTAGCTGTTTCTGCCAAGGTAACTGGCTCATGGCTCAGAGGAGGCCTCAGCATTATTGATTCATGAGCTGTTCCTCTCTGCACCTGGAGCAGTCAGTACAAAACAGGCCAAAACCCCAAAACAGTGAGACAGCCATCAGCCTTTTAGGATGACAACTAAGCCTGTAAAAAAGAACCTGGTGCAAAAAGGGAAATCTCTAGGTGTTGGCTCATGAGCCCTTTTCCATCACCCTGTCCTCAGCCCTGGACGAGGCACAGGCGAGCAGATGGAGCTTTCCAGCAATCCAAAGAATTCATTTCTCATGCTACATCGAACTAGGTAGATGTGGTATTGCCATGGCAACTTGAGAGAGAGCCCAACCAGAATCCTGGCAATCCTTTAAACAAAATCATAGTACACTTTTCACTCACCTGTTTGTTCTCCCTCACCATCCACCCCAACTTTTGGTTCATGCTGTTATTTCACAGTGAGAGGGAAATTTCCCTGTAAGGCAGTGAGCAGGGCCAGCTGCCAAGGGAGAGGGAGCAGGAAGGAGCTTGACTTTCCCTGGAAAGCTGGGCACTGTTGGGTTGTGCTAGCTTGTGGAGAACACAAATATGACCCACAGTTGTAGGGGAAGGGATCTGGGAGAGTTCTGTCCTCTCTGAATGGCTTCCAGAAGGCAGGTAGACACTATCCTGTATCTCCTGGTGTTTTACTGATCTTTGTGGATTTTTGCTGTCCATAAAGTTCTGTCTTGTCTTTTAGATGTGCTGAAGAAGAAGGAGAAGAAAACCAATAGCATTGGAGACATAAAAGTGTTCAAAGAGTGGCTGAAGTTGCACCACCCCTCCGAGACACGCAAGATCCACACGCTGCCTCCTGCAGACCTTGACCACTACCTGGTCTCGTTCTTCAGCTCTGCCAAGAGACAGAATGGCATGGATTTTTCTTCCAATTCTTTGAGTTTCTTCCAGCAAAACATCAGCCGGTACCTCAAGGGCCACAACTACCCATACAACATATTGAGAGGGCCAGAGTTCAGGGCCTCTCAGGAAGCCTATAAATTAAATCATTGGTGTCTGTTCCTAAAGGAGGAAGGGTGGGGTGTTGTGGAGAACATGACAGATGATGATGTGGAAAACCTTTCTAAGAAGGGAATTTTAAGCAAGACACACCCTCAGGGCTTGCTACACCTCATGTTCACCAGCCTCATTAGGGGGTTTGGGGCCAGCACCCACTACCAGGCCCACCAGCTGTACTGGGGACAGGTGGTGCTGAGGAAGACCAAAGGAGAGCTGGAGTACTTGGAGTGGAAAGATGATCTGAGCCCCAAGGGAGACAAAGAGGAGCTATGCCCACGGCTCTTTGCCAAGCCTGAGGATCCAGAGAATTGCCCAGTTGCTAGTTACAAGGAGTATGCCAGGAAGAGGCCACCAGACATGCTGAAAGACAATCACCCTCTGTACCTGTTTCCCAAGTCACTGTGCTCCGTCTGGGATGAAGTGTGGTACAGCAGGAAGGCACTGACAAAACCCAAAATTTATAAGATCTTGAAAGTTATTACCCAGGAAGTCACAAAAACTGAAAGGAAGACCAGGAAACTGGTGTGTCCCTTTGGCTTTGCCCCTTCAAGCTCTCCAAAGCTGGTCTGAAGCAGAATCCTATTGCAATATTTGGTGTAGGTTGAGAACAAACATCCTTCTGCGGGGCTTCACCTTGGCACTGAAGTTACCTACAGATCTGCAGTGCCTTGGCTTTCAGAGAATCTCCTTTGTTGTTGTTTCTGTTACTGGAATTGATAATTCAGTGAGTTAAGGAGAATCTTCAGTTTCACATTTGCCAAAAAAGTTAATGTTCTACCGTGTGGTCAATGCTGTTAGAAACAGCCAGTGCTGATACAGAGAGGGCTCAGAGGTGGCAGAGCCTGGCCAGGAGCATCAGCTGCACCCACATTTTGAGGATGACACCACACACAGCTCAGTCTGGGGCACAGACCTGTGGGGACGGATGAGCAACATGAGGAGAGTGATGACGCTGCCAATCCCAACCTCGCAGGAATGCTTCTGACAAGGTTCAGGTCATTTCCCTTAGGGAAAGATTCATAGATGGAAGAAGTTATGGCTGTTTAAAGAAGTTACTTAAAGTGTCTGACAATGTTGAAAGGTTTTATAGTAAGTGGTTTCTCTGGAGTGCAAAACACAACTCCACAAAGGGAGGTGAGCTCAGCTCTGCTCAGCTGCTCCAGTGCTGTTTAGAACCTTTTTGGTTGCATTGTTGACAGAGCCAAATAAAAGAACCTTTCATTCAGCCCTGTCTGTCTGTGCCTGAACAGTAGGTGATCCTGGAACACTGGTGTGTTCCCTGTTGTGCTCAAACTCCCCTGCTCCCAGCCCAGTGGCAGAGTTTTGGGCCCTTTGAAGCCCTATGAACCATCCCCATGGTGTCAAATGAAGCCTTGGGAATCAAGCTCTTCACCAGAATTGGTCCCATTCAACCAATTGAACATCAAGAGGTAACTTAAGGACGTTTGAACAGACATAAAAACAAACTCTAAAGGTGCTGGAGGGCGCCTGCCAGCGCCCCTTGTGCTTTGGAGCACCGGTGGCATCACCATGACACCACGACAGAGCAGCTGTCCCGAGGGTCCTGCCGGTGCTGGGTGCCAGTCCCGGGTGACCCAGCCATGGTCACACCTCTGTTCCCCGCTTCCCTCAGCAGCCCCCAGACCCCCTCGGCTCGGGCTCTTTGCTCCCTGTCGCTGCTCGGTTCGGCCCATGCCCAAGGCTCGGCAACGAGCGGCTGCTGACGGGGAGAACAGGTTACACCATCTGCCCTGTCACAGCACCTGGGCACCTCCCGGCTCCCCGAGCTCCACCGGGGAAACCCCCGCTCAGCGCTTGCAGTGGGGTCCGTACCGGGGTCCCGGCGGGTCCGTACCGGGATCCCGGCGGGTCCGTACCGGGGTCCCGGCGGGTCCGTACCGGGATCCCGGCGGGTCCGTACCGGGGTCCCGGCGGGTCCGTACCGGGGTCCCGGCGGGCGCTGCCCGGGCGCCCCCTAGCGGGGGCGGACGGACGGGCACGGACCGCAGAGCGGTTGGGCTCGAACGGGACTTTAAAGCCCAGCCGGTGCCATCCCCCGGTGCTACCCCTCCAGCGCCCCGTGCAGGGACTCCTCCCACCGGCCCCGGGTGCTCCCAGGCCCGCCCGGTGGGAGCCCGGCACTCCCCCAGCCTTTGGGACCCCCCCCAACCGCAGCCCCTGCAAGGCTCCAGCCCCACATCCCAACCGCGGGGGTTCCTCTGAAACAGCAGAGCAAAACCAGTGGAGCAGGCGGACTCTCTTGGAAGACCAAGAGAGTAGAACAACTCTTTAATAAATTAGCAAAATAAACAGCATTTATATATATTTTTATATTCCATTGCTGCATCTCCATGGATCACAGGAGTTAAACCAATGTTGATTCCCAAGTCCCACGGCAACTGATCCAGAGGCCTCAGTTCAGGTAGACCCAAGGCAATGCTCAGCCTTGTGGTACTTAAAAACCTTAAACCACTGAGAAATAAAACAGCTTTTTTGTAAGCTTGAGACACAGCTCCCAAGGGGCAAAGTGAATTACTGGGTGATTTCACCTGGCTGGCTCCAGGCAGAAGTGATTAAAAAGATACTGATCCAATTTTTTTCCCTGTTAAGAAAAAAAAGTGCTCTTCCACCCCACAGGGAAGAGGAGGAAGGAGCAGATCTATTGCATGGAAGGATTATCAGTTTAACAATAAACCAGATTGATTTGCAGGGTTCACGTCTCTGATTGTTGTGACGGTGGAACTGATGGAGCATTAAGATCACACATCAGCTGATTGTGAACAGGGCCAGCCCCCGACCCAGGGGTCCCTCAGTCCTCATCCCGGACGTACTGTCCAGCCTCCCAGCGCTGGGCCATGGCGCTCTTGTGGCGAAACACTCGGGTGCTTTCCACCACCTGCAAAGACCAGCACGTGCAGGATCTTTATACAAAACTTTCATAACGATCTGGTTTGCAGAACTGCCCCCCCAACCTCCCCCCCGCCAGCTCCCCAGTCTGCTCTGCCTGACTCAGCATCCACCCAAGTGGTGCCCGCGGTCTCAAGGGAGCCAGGACCATCCCATCCATCCCTGTCCATCCCACAGGATCTCCAGGAGTGAGGGGAGCTGGGGAATGCGGGAGGTGTCAGGGCAGCAGGAGCAGAGCCCCCGCATTTGTGAAGGGCTTTACCTCTGTGTTGACCTTGTCAATGGGTTCGATGCCTGCGTACTGTGGAAAGAGGAAAACACGATTAGATAATGGCAGCCTGGCAGGGGAATATCCAATAGCGGCTGGATTTGGCTCCCAGCAGGAGCACAGGAGAGTTGGGAGAACAGTCCAGGCCAGGATCCCCCACAGGAGGAAGCTGCTGCTCCTCTCCAGTCCCACCCAGTGCTGGCAGCTCTGAACAGCAGGCGCTGTCTGGGGGGCTCATGTGGCCCCTTAATGGTGCCACCACCACTGGGTCTCCACCAAGCTGAGCAGCTGGATCTCAAACTCCAAGTGGGAGTCAGGAACAGCCACCTCCAGCCCCAGAGCCACCAGTCTTCCCCCGGGCTCAAGCCCCTCAAACACTTGGCACAAGCAGGGTGGGCATGTTCACCTTTCCATCCTCCTTCACCCTCCTCCTCCGCTCCTCGAAGGGGCTGGAACGCGACGAGTCAGGGGTGAGGGTCTCTGCACTGCCCTGGGAGGAACTGGTCACTCTCAGCGGGGTGAAGGATGAGATCAGCCCCAGGATCCCCGTCTGGTGTGAGGCAGGAGAGGAGGCAGGAGACCCAGACACTGAGTAGTTGCCACTGGCACCTGAGGCAGCTTTGAGAGAAAGAGTCAGGGGGTGAAGGACTTCAGTTCCACTCCCAGGGGGTGGAGACCCACAAGGAGTGTCAGGCACCTGCCCCAAACCTGCCTCCATGGCAGGTCCAGCCGGTTTGGTCATAGCCAGGACCCCATGCCTGGGCCCCAGCCAGGGACTGCAGGAACAAGGGGTAAAATGCATTAGCTGGGCCTTTCTAGCCCTGTTTGCTGCTGTAACATGACACAAACTCATCGAGGCCTGAGCAGATCTGGAATCCTGCAGAGCCTATCCTTCCTCAGCAGCAGTTCTGCTGACTCCAGCGTGCTGATATCAAATTCTCCCAGGACAACTTGCTACCAGCACACAGGAGTCCTTACAGCCATCCCACCAAATAATTTCTCTGCCGCTCTGTCCCTCTGCTCCCTTACCAGAGCTGTGCCGAGAGCGGGAGCCCTTCTGGGGAGCACCATTGCTGTAGGTGTCCATCAGCCGCCGCCGCTGCTCCTGGAGCTCCTCTTCCCTCTGCAAGTCACTCCGGATCTCCTCCTCAATCAGTGCCGATGTCTGGAGCTTCCATGTCCGCAGCCGGTACTGCTCCTCCCGGCCATCCTCCCTCTGCAGTGGGCTCTGTGTCCCCATGTCCTCCACGAAGGACACCTTGGGCTTCCAGAAGGAGAGGGATAAGTACTCTCTGGGCAGGACAGCAGTGCTGGCAGGGCTCGGGGTGGAGCCGGGAAGCTTTCCTCCCCAGGAATCCTCACTCCCCCGTTTGCTGGTGCTGGTGGAAGTGTTCTGGGACACCAAGGGCTGCTCTCGGCTCCTCTCGCTGGCGGTGAAGCGCGGCTGGGACAGCTGGAAGTGAGCGATGCTCGCTGTGTAGCTGGGAATGCTTCTCCCAGCCCTGGTGTCTTCCACAGGGCTGGGGCTCGAGGGCTGCTCCACCACAAACTCTTTAACCCAGCTCCTCCTCTCCTCTGCCCGCTTCAGGGGGGTGGGCTTCTGTGGGGGGGCTTCCTCCTGCTCGAACACCCTCCTGCGCTCCTCCAGCTCCTGCTGTGTCCCCCTGTCATACATCCCCAGCAGCCTGCCCTGCCTCTTTAGATCTTCCTCACGCTTCGTTTCCTGTTCAATTTCCCTCTGGACATAAAGGGAAGCGCGGCCTCTGTCCTTCCCTTTCCTGCCTGGGCCGGGAGACATGTGAATGTTGAGGACAGGCTTGGTCTGGATCTCCACCAGCTCACTGCTGGCAGTCAGCCGCTGGATTCCCCTTTCCTTCCAGAGGTTCTCCTCCCTTTCCATCGCCATGCGGATCTCCCGCTCGATGGGTGTCTCGTTGCTGACCCTCGTCTCCTTGCCCAGCCCATTGCTGCTGGCCCTCAGATCCGCACTGAAGGTCTCGTTGGAGGTGCTTCCATCGCTTGCATAGCCCGCAGCAGCTTCGTTATACATCTCACCCAAGCCAGAGTCCAGGTCTTCTCTGGACCATGTTTTTGTCAGGATGGACGTCTTCCCAATGGGATATGACCTTTCTGTGTGAGCCTTTCTGGGAGCATAGATCTCCTCTTTCTCGGGTGTCTTGTATAAGGACACACCATGAACCTGGTAAACGCTCTTGTCTGTCCTGCTCTGGCTTGATGCACCGCCACTGCCATAGCCTCTCGTAGCCCTCATGGCCATCTCAGGGCTGTACCACTCTTCCCTGGAGACTTTTGTCACCGACTCTGGCCTTGGGGACATGGCCTGCTGCCCTGGGCTGAAAAATGAGCCTGAGTTGGTCTTCTCCAGCATCAGGAACTGCTGCCGAGCCGCTGAGAAGTTAATCTGCTCTGTGTCAATATTCTCAGGGTCAACGGGCGTTACAGCCCTGCCTGGGGAAGTTTTGTCAAAGCAGATGGCAAAGCTGGTGGGGACACTGCCTGTGTGCCTGCCTTCACCTTGGCTGCCCACACCGGCGCTGATGGAGCTCAGCTCATCCACAGAGCTCCACCTCTCTGCGATGGTGGAGCTCTTCCTCATCACCTGGCTCCGGATGATCTCTTTCCTCTCATCTTCGAGCTCCCTGGCTTTCTCAGGTGAGATGTTGGGCGGAGGGACCCTGTACAGGTCTTGCTCGTCATCATCGTAGAGCTTCGAAGGCTTCCTCTCGCCCTTGTAAGCCCGGAGGTCGTACAGGCTTCCTGATCTCACCACCTCTAGCTTGGACTCCCTGTCTGGGGACGGGGTCCAGACATCTCTTCCACCCTCCAGGAAATACGAGGGTGACTGGGACCTCCTCTTCCAGCTGTAGCCATTTTCCACCCTCCGGGTGCTGTGCTGAGTGGAGCCAAACACATCATCGTCGCTGCTGGCCCT